CCCCTCACTCTCCCCAGCTGCTCACCACACTCGGACTGCACACGGCTCCGGACTGCCCCAGCCCCGGCTCCGGACAGCCCCAGCCCCAGCCCCAGCTCTGGACTGCTCCAGCCTCGGCTCCAGCTCCACTCCGCCTCAGCCCGTCTGCTGCTGCTCTGCCTTCAGCTCCCTGGGCTGCTTCTCTGGCCTCTCTGGCTCCGGTTGCTGCAGCTCTGCCCCCAGGACAGGTCTGCTCTGCAGGCTGCTTCTGTGACTCTGCTCCCAGCTCTGACCTGCTTCCTGGCTGCTTGTCTGGCCCCTCTGGCTCTGGTTGCTACAGCTCTGCTCCCAGGGCAGCTCTGCTCTCTCTGGGCTGTGCTCTGGCTTTGGGGCTGCAGCTCTGCTTCCAGCAGCTTAGCTCGGGCCCCTGCTCTCTCCTTAGCTCGGCCCCACTCTGTCTGACTCAGGCCATTCCAGTTCACACGGAGGACGGGACCCACCCTGGCCTCCTGACTCTCTGATTAGCCTGCCTGCCCTGTCAATCAGGCTGATCTGGAGCATTGGCCTCTCCCCATTGCCCCTGGGGACTGTCAGTCTCAGGCTCCTGATTTGCCATCGACCCTTCCCCTTTTAGTGCTGGGAGCTAGCCAACCAAAACACCCCACTGAACGTTAGTAAGGGGGCAACAGTCCCCTTACACAGGCATATCCATAGTGCCTTGATCCCTGGACTGTCCAGAGAATATCATGGAGGTCTGACAGGGAGGAGAGACGCTGACACACAGAGCGGTTTTGCAGAAGAGTCTATAGGAAGTTTATCTTCCATGTGGAGTCTGTAGTAAGACTGTTAACCACCTGGTGAGCTAGAGAGGCATGTAGTGTGCCTTCTTACTAAAGACCACTTTTCTCTTAAATGCTTTTGTTCTAAATAATACTTTGCTTGAAGGAGGCTGTTTAGTTGCTGATTACCACTGTCTGTTCCCCAGGAGGAACAGAACTGTAGGGTCTGGACATGTCTGCCGAGGTGATCATGGTTGATACACAGGGGACTGCAAGCCAGGGCCTGGTCTGAAAGTGGGAGAATTATGTGATTCCACCCCAAGAGACAGCCCAGGGCCTGAGATCTAGATGAGATGCACTTGAAGAGGCCAGGAGGGGTCAGAGGTCTGGTTTGTCCAGTAAATGTGGGTAGGTCTGATAAAAGATATAAGCTTGCCTATTTTGTCTCTCTGAGCAGACAAGACAGTTCGCTAAGCTAAAGGAATTGTCCTTTTAATAAGAGGGAATACAGTGGAGATGTCAGTTACAGATGAATTGCAATAACCAAATGCTAGACTTAAATCCGTTCCTATCTTTCTTTGATTTGCTGAACTGAGATACCGTGAACAGTTACTAGGGTATATTAGATTCAGAGATTTTTAAAGCCAGAAGAGGGATCATTATGATCATCTAGTCTGATTTCCCATATAACACAGGCTGTAATATTTCACCTAGTTACAGTGGAGGAGATACTCAGGAGATCAATAACTTATACCGGTGCTTAGACTATAGGTCAGGGCTGGCTAAAAACCGGAAAGGAGTGTGAATGAGTCTCAAAAATCGGCAGGGCAGAAATTGACAGTTCATGCTTTTGAACAATGTTATAGCTGGTATGTTCTCCTCCAGGATATTACCCTGAACTGGAAAGCCCTGGCTCTGTAACTTCTTAGCTAACATGGTGGCAACAAGTCGGTTATAACCTTTCCTGCGGTGCTCAGAAAGAGTATAAGTGTGAATCAAGGTGGCAAACTGATCTGTCAGACTCCAGGAGACAGGGTGCCCGTTGTCATCTAGCACGCAGATGCTGGGGAAGCAGCAAATGAGGTTGGCAATGTACCTCTGGCATTGCTCGTTGCCTCCCCGTGACCAGGTTTCATTCAGCAGGCTGGCATGAGAGACATCAAGGTAAGCCAGTCTCGGTGCAGGATCCATCCTGGGAGAAGGTATAGGAAATGCATTAGGCAGAATACTTCATCCCTAAGTCATCTTTCCCCATTCAATGGCTTTCCTGTTCCACTTCAGAAAAGGGAATGAAAGATTGCTAGGCCAGGCTAGAGATTTGAGGATTAGTGCCACTGCTGTATGGGAAGTCTAGATGTGAGGTCCAGCCCTTATCTGCCAGGTGCCCAGGGATGAGTTATGTCTGACTCCTGGGAGTAAGCTCGTAATACAGAGGTGAGCAAACTGTGGCCCTCGGGCCACAGGACCATCCTGCCTGGCCCTTGAACTCCCGGCCAGGGAGGCTAGCCCCTACCCCTTCCCCGGCTGTCCCCCGTCCCCCACTGTACAGGGAGACTTTGGCAAACCAGTAAAGTGCTTGAAACCACTATGGCTTATTGTTAAAGACAACCTAGTCAGCAAGCTGTAAAGTGGCCATGTAGCAATCTCAGCTTGACCAAGGCAGGGGGGGGGGGGGTTGGGTGCCACAGAAAGGGCAGCTTGACCCCTTGTCCTTCCTGATAAGAATTGTGTTGAAGTTGCTGATACATGCATTTTAAAAGAGTAGGATATGCCCCAGGAATGTCTATTGAGGTCTCAAGGCTGCAAGTTCTGGAAAAACCCACACCTGGTTAATCAATAATCAGAAGGAACCTCTTGCTTGAAACTGCTTACTTAACAAGGTTTCTTTAAGGGACATGTCATTCTATTACTAATGTATAAAGAAGGGGACTCGTTTGGGGGACTCTTCGGGACTGGTCTCTCCCTCTGGATGCAACTTGTGTTCCCCCCGGGCAGATGGGCTGCCGCTGTGCTACTCGAGAGCCACACTCAGCTTTGGTAATTATCAAGGGTTGGGGGTGTTTTGTGGCGGACGTGTGTAAGTGCTGAGACTAAGTAAAGGTTTAGCTTTAAGTGAAAGCACTCTTGTGTTGTCCTGTTTGTGCCGGCCATCTATCGGTCGGATGGCCGTGTCTCCCCTGGTTTATTTCCTGACACCTCCTCGCACAGAGTAAAAGTTACCAAGAGCTTTGGGTTGAAAGAGCCCCGGGTAACACCACAGCTTCAGCTCACCGTGCTGCCAGCGAGCTCCTGCCGGACAGCGAGAGCTGCCAGCCTGCTCCGTGCTCTAGACTGCGCGGCGGCGTGGCTGGCTCCAGGCAGTGCAGCTCCCAGTCCTGGTGCTCTGATCGGCATGGTAAGTGAGTGAGGAGTGGGGGGGTTGGATAAGGGACAGAGGGTCCCAGGGGACAGGGAGCAGGGGGGGGGTTGGATGGGGGTGGAGTCCCGGGGGGGCGGTTAGGGGTGAGGAATCATGGGAGGGGGCGGTCAGGGGACAAGGAGCAGGGGGTGTTGGATGGGTCGGTGGTTCTTAGGGGGACAGTCAGGGGGCGGGATGTGGGATAGGGCGGATAGAGGGCAGGGGGCCAGGCTGTTTGGGGACACCAGCCTTTGGGGAGGCACAGCCTTCCCTACCCAGCCCTCCATACAGTTTTGGGCCAAAAAGTTTGCCCACCCCTGTAGTAATATGTGCACATGATGTTTTAAATGGTTTTAACTGTAGCAGTTCTTAGTACAAGAAATGCTTGTTGGACTGCACCACCCACAATCCTTTACAGGGAGTTGAGGACCTGATTTGGAGAGTGAAAAATAAATCATGGTTACCAACACACCTCAAGGTCTCTGCCTTTCCTTAAAAATTAGTAAGACCCTTAAAATATATATACAGTGCTTCTCACTTCCTGGCATTGCCTTCTCACTCCCAGGCTCTTCCTCAGTCAGCCAGCGTTTGTCCCAATGACCTACCAGTCTGGCTATTATTTCAGTGTGGCTTAGTAGATAGAGAATTTGACTAGGACTGAGGAGAGCTGGGTTCTATTCCCAGCTCTGTCATTGGCCTGCTGGGGATCCTTGGTCAAGTCACTCCACTTCTCCGTGCCTCAGTTTCCACAATTTGAAGCTCTTTAAGACAGGGGTCTCAAAGTCGCAGCCCGCGGGCCATCTGCGGCCCGCGAATCTCCCCACTGCAGCCTGTGGAGGAGAGATGCATGCAGGTACACTGCAGGCAACGTCTGTTACAGGCACCGCCCCCTACAGCTCCTATTGGCTGGGAGAGAGGGACATCTCTAGTCGCCAGGCAGAGTCAGCCATGGAGGCAGCATCATTTTTTTCCCATAACGAATATAAACAAGTCAAAATACCAAACACAACTATCTGATGCACACCTTGCTGCAATCCTGAAGGTTTCAGCTGCTCAGTCACTGAGGCCAAACATCAACAAACTGACGTTTTCTTTTCTGAACATCATCTTCAGTGACATTATTGACCCACTGGGAGGATTTGAGAACTGGCACTGGCCCTAAGGTAAATTGAGTTTGAGACCCCCGCTTTAAGATCTACTAATTAAAAGTGCTAGATATGAGCTAAGTATGATCATGTTTATGGAAAATAGGAAGGATGCGATTGGACATACTGAGTTCTGACGTCTGGCAGCATGTCAGGGTCTGGGAGGATAAACATCTGGAAAGAGGATAGTTTCACATCGACTTGTTTAGACGTAGCAACAGTGTTGGATACTTCATATAATCCATCCTGGAGCCCTGTGTAGACACAGATAAATAGTGACTCATTTAAAAAACAAAATGCGCATGGAAATAAATAAAAAAAACAAAGCTTGGATTCACTATGGAGCTGTTTGCACATCTGAAATCTTCAAAACCCTCAGCATTACTGCATGTTTCTTTCTTCCCCATTCAATACAACCTCCATAATTTCATATGTTAACAGGGCCGCCCAGAGGATTCAGGGGGCCTGGGGTCTTCGGCAGTGGCGGGCCCCTGCCGCCGAATTGCCGCCAAAGACCCGGTGCTTCAGCAGTGGGTCCCGGGGCAGGAGGACACCCCGCCACAGTCTTCGGGGCACTTCGGCGGCGTGTCCCAGTGCGGAAGGACCCCCCATCAAGGGTCTTCCAGGCACTTCGGCAGTGGGTCCTGGGGCGGAAGGACCCTCCCCTCCCCCACCGCTGAATTGCCGCCGAAGACCCGGAGCGGAAGAAGCTCCGGGGGCCCGGGCCCCACAAGAGTTTTCCGGGGCCCCCGGAGCGAGTGAAGGACCCCGCTCCAGGAGCCCCGAAAAACTCTCATGGGAGCTCCCACGAGGCCCAAGGCCTGGGGCAAATTGCCCCACTTGCGCCCCCCTCTGGGCGGCCCTGTATGTTAAAGCCAGAAGGAGCCATTATGATCATCTACTCTGACCTCCTACACAACGCAAGCCTGAGAATCTCACCCAGTAATTTCTACATCAAGCCTGTAACCTCTGTTCGACAGAGAGCACATCTTTTAAAAAGACATCCAGTCTTGATTTAAGGAATTCAAGTGGTGGAGAATCTACTATATTTCTAGGTAAGTTGTTCCAGAGATTAATTACCCTCACTCTTAAAAATGTGCACCTTCTTCCTAGTCTGAATTTATCTAGCTCAGGGATCAGCAACCTTTGGCACGTGGCTCACCAGAGTAATCACCCTGGCGGGCTGGGACGATTTGTTTACCTGCCATGTCCGCAGGTTCGGCCGATCGCGGCTCCCGCTAGCCGCGGTTCGCCCTCCCAGGCCAATGGGCGCTGCGGGAAGCGGTGCGGGCCGAGGGATGTGCTGGCCGTGGCTTCCTGCAGCCCCCATTGGCCTGGAGAGGCAAACCACAGCCAGTGGGAGCTGCGATCGACCGAACCTGCGGACACGGCAGTTAAACAAACCTACCGGGCCCGCCAGGGGGCTTACTCTGGCGAACCGTGTGCCAAAGGTTGCCGATCCCAGATCTAGCTTCAGCTTCCAACTATTGGATCTCATTACCTCCTTCTACTAGATTAACCAGCTGTCTATGATCAGCAGTCCTGTTAATGAGCTGGATGTTCTCTAGGGATCCTTGCCTTTAACAGAGAGCAGACTGAAATAAAAATACACTTACTGCAGCAAGGAAATTGGACCTCTATAACTGAGAGCAGAACTTGGCCCAATGATGAAGAACGATACAGCGTGGGTGAAATTCAAAAACCAGGAGGGCTGTATCCAACTGCCACCTCTTTCCTGAATCCTGCATTTCACGTTATTATAAGAAATCTTTAGCCAATATACAATGGCAGGGTCTATTCCCCCTCAGAATGTTTTATACCACCCAGGTAGCCTATTTGATAAAGTTGGACTTTACCTTGTATCTGAAAGATCTGTTCCCAGTTGATGGTATCTGTGTTGGCCAGTAGCTCCTGGTAAGCCTGTAGGTCCTTGTAGAAAACTGCATAGGCATTGGTGTAATGGTCAAGGTCGTCCATCTCATCCTGGATAGAAAAGGCATGGAATAGTTAAGAAAAATTCCTTCCTTTTTCCTGTGTCTTGGAAACCAAAGCTCAGAGATCTGTGACCAGAGATCCAAGGAATCGCTGGATCTTCAGGAGTTCCCTGATTAGGATATTCTTCTTTGGCACTTTCCACAGTGTATCAACACCAGGCATCAGAATAGAATCTATTCCTTACTCTCCCCAACCCCACAGTAACTAACAGCCGTGATGGAGGTGGACCCTCATCTTTCCAAGGCAGTCACTAAGCGAAGAGTAACCTGGGCCTAGCAGCAGTTTCCTGAAGCTTTTGGCCATTTTAATATTCTGAGAGCCTTTCCCCCAGCTGCTTCTGGACCCTTTGTCTTGTAGTGATTGGCCCAAACCAGCACTGTATAAGCAAGAGTGATTCTTGTTGAAATCAACGGGCATTGTGTCGGCTTCCACTGGGGATGAATTTGGCCTGATACATTTACGCCTGCAGTTGCCACTAATAAGGAACAGGTGGGTTCCCAGGAATCAGCCAAGTCACCTACTCTGCAGGGTATTAGAGAGTGCAAGCCTTGCTACTCCCTTCCCACTCCACGTTGACACCAGCCGAGAAGCTAAAGGAAAGGATTCAATCACAACAGGATCCATAGTCTATTTGCTCTTCTGGAGCTCAGATTATAAATGTTTTGATCTACCTCCATCTGCCGCCTGGTAATGACAACTTTGAAATCTGGCCACGAATCCACCACCACTTCCATCCTGAAGGGATTGCCTCTGTTGATATTCAGCAATGCTCCATAAACCTGCCAGATAATGTAACGTGTTCTTGTATATGAAATAGAGATTATAAGTTGTTTTGTGCTTTAGAATAAATTGTACTTTATGCCTTTACATTTGGTTAAGGTATTTGACCATGTATTAGATATGGAATCTGAAATTCAAAATGGCGTGCCTGCCAAACAGCTCAACTCCACCTTTGTTTAGCTGCTTGCTAAAGTTTTCGTGCCCTTTGTAACTCTGACGGAAAAGGCAGGTAACGGTCAGCCCAATACTGGTTCAAACAGGTTCCAGCAGGGGAGCTGCCAGTTTTACCTCAAAACTTTGGCGCGCTTGTGCCTATATAAACTCTGAGCACCCACTGCCTCGTTGCTGTCTGTCCCAGAGGCAGCCACGGAGCCGTTGTATTTTCATGGCTACATGGGCCAGAAGACCAGCATCTGAAGACATCAGCGTTAAGAACTATGACTGTGCTACCAATCTCTGAACCCCACATTGTTTTCAGAGAAAGCAACAGGACTTCTGTACATCACTCACCCTTGGGTGATCGCAGAGCCAGGCCTCTCATTAGCATCAGTAGATCCTATTGATCTCCCACTAAACAGCGATTGAGACCCAGGGTCTATCAGTTGGCCGTGACAACAGTGTCATACCATCTACTGTCTATTGACATTTAGAAATGGTGCAGTGTCTGGGATATTTTGTTTTAGCTTTATTTGTTTATTGCCAGGGTATCTATTTGGTTGGGCCTGGGTTTTAAACCCAAACTGTCAAACCACATCTCACTGTTTCTGTTTTAAATAAAAGCTGTCATCTGTTTACTTTATTCTTTTCTCTTCTTTATCCATTTGCATCACGGGATAGGGAGTTACACTATCTTTCCCTTCTACCTCCCCCCCCCCCCTCCGCAGGTGATAGATACCAGATAAGGATCCAAGATCCTGCTAATTAGCTGCAAGGTATAGCTAGCCTATACCATCCTCACCATTATAGTTAACCTTGCATGGTTAACATTAAGAACCAGAGAGACCATTTTGAGGCTTGCTATTGTGACGCCTGCCACCTTGGCTGACACATATGAGACTGAACCATGGACTCGTAGAGCTAAAAGCACAAATCCCAAGAGCTGGAGTTAAAGAATCAGGCTCTCCAACAGATCTGTGTCCTATGTTGATCAGACACAAAGGGGAGGTGCATTAGACACACGCTGACTAGTGGATTACGCTGTCATATTGGTAAACCCACTGCTATCAGATGCAGGTTCCTTGATAGTCAGTTGTAGTAGCAAAGAAGCTTCTCTCCCCCTCACCCCGCACTCTGCCTCCATCTTGCCCAACATTCTGATTCCCCGAAGGAGACAGCACAGAAAAGAACAGATCAGATCTATTACCTTGCGTGATTCGGGGAAGTTCTGCATTAACATTTTCTCCAGCATCTGCAGTTTCATGGAACACTTCAGCACCAGCATCTTCCCAAAGCATCTAGCAATGTCCTGGGTGGGAACAGATATCCATATGTATCCTTATATATGTCTAAGACATATGTGAGGGGGGTGCCCAGGCTTGGGATTTCAGCCCTGAAGCTTCTGCTGGGGCTCGGGGTGGGGGTGTCAATGTGTTGCCAGCACAGAGTGCCCGAGGACAGCAACAGCGGGTTTGTTGCCTGGTGTGTTTCGTGTCAATAAACACACCAGGTGGAGAAGCAAACAAAGTTTATTTGAGATCTCAAAGTGGTGCAAGGAGACTGGCACGTCTCAAATCAAGCACACCAACAGAAACAGCTTTTCTTCTTTTATACATTTTGCAGTCAAGCATCATCTCCCCCTCCCCTTCCCTCACTACCCCTCCCTTCCTTCCCCCATTCCTCTTTCTTTACCCCTCCCATTCCTGGTAACAATTACTAAGCAAATAGCAATTACATTTAAGCAGTTAGATTATGTTGGCAGCTATAAGTTCAGCTCGTTAGTAACTTCTTTAAACCATTATCTTGTCCTTTTTCCCTTCAGCCAGAAACATGCAGGCCTCATTATTACCGCTTGATACCGGTGTGAGCAGGGGGTTGCACACAGATAACTGATTGCTTACATATTCCAATTGCACCTGACTTTTGAGGTTGATTAGAGTTTAAACATGGAAGCAGTTTGGTTCACTTAGGCCTAGTGCAGGAAGGCTTCATTGACACTTGTGATTTTCCACCCTCCCGAGTTACCTAGGGTGATGCCTAGTAACGTCAACAACTGTGTCACTTTTTTCAAGTGTCTGGTGGGCATATATGGCAAACTGAATGCACTAAATCCACAACTTCAAGATAAGAATACAAATATGCTAGATATGAAAGGGGAAATCTGGGAGTCATAAAAAAGCTTTGTCTTTGGAGATGCCCCATTGAAAGGGGAGATGCTGAGATGTTTCTAGTGTTGTCAGACTTTTAAAAAGAACAGAGTGAAAGGGATCAAAATGCTACTGAAGACCAAATCATTACTCATTTGTCTGGATTGTATTCCCATTATTATGGGTATTTTCCTGGTGTTTAACATGATCTCCCCATACCTATTAGATTCTTGATAACAATTAACACCATTCCAACCTTAAGTATGGCTCAACAACATCTCATAGAATTGTCAAGTGATTACCATGCTGAAGACCAAGTTTCATATCTAAAATACCAGGAATTCTAGATTTCTGTTAAAGAAGAGGATGAAGAACTCAGTGATGAAGCTATGAAAGTGCTGCTTCCATTCACTTCAAGTTATCTCTGTCTGGGTTTTCAGCAATGATTTCTGTGAAAATTAAGCACAGAAGTATTTAAACTTGGAAAATTACTTACATCTGCAGCTATCAGAAATTCAGCCAAACATTGTGCAACTATGCAATTTGTCAAGTACCAGAGGGGTAGCCGTGTTAGTCTGGATCTGTAAAAAGCGACAGAGTCCTGTGGCACCTTATAGACTAACAGATGTATTGGAGCATAAGCTTTCGTGGGTGAATACCCACTTCGTCAGACGCATGTAGTGGAAATTTCCAGAGGCAGGTATAAATATGCAGGCAAGAATCAGTCTAGAGATAATGAGGTTAGTTCAGTCAGGGAGGATGAGGCCGTCTTCTAGCAGTTGAGGTGTGAACACCAAGGGAGGAGAAACTGCTTTTGTAGTTGGCTAGCCATTCACAGTCTTTGTTTAATCCTGAGCTGATGGTGTCAAATTTGCAAATGAACTGAAGCTCAGCAGTTTCTCTTTGAAGTCTAGTCCTGAAGTGGATTTTTTTTTATTTTTTCTGTAGGATGGCTACCTTTTAAATCTGCTGTGTGTCCAGGGAGGTTGAAGTGTTCTCCTACAGGTTTTTGTATATTGCCATTCCTAATATCTGACTTGTGTCCATTTATCCTTTTACGTAGGGACTGTCCAGTTTGGCCCATGTACATAGCAGAGAGATATTGCTGGCACATGATGGCATATATTACATTGGTGGACCTGCAGGTGAATGAACCGGTGATGTTGTGGCTGATCCGGTTAGGTCCTGTGATGGTGTCGCTGGTGTAGATATGTGGGCAGAGTTGGCATCGAGGTTTATTGCATGGATTGGTTCCTGAGTTAGAGTTACTATGGTGCAGTGTGTGGTTGCTGGTGAGAATATGCTTAAGGTTGGCGGGTTGTCTGTGGGCGAGTACTGGCCTGCCTCCCAAGGCCTGTGAAAGCGAGGGATCGTTGTCCAGGATGGGCTGTAGATCACTGATGATGCGTTGGAGAGGTTTTAGCTGAGGGCTGTAGGCGATGGTCAGTGGTGTTCTGTTTTCTTTCTTGGGCTTGTCTTGCAGCAGGAGGCTTCTGGGTACACGTCTGGCTCTGTTGATTTGTTTCCTTATTTCCTTGTGCGGGTATCGTAGTTTTGAGAGTGCTTGGTGAAGACAGGGCTTTGGAGCAGAGCCCGGAGCTGGAGCACGGAGCAACTCCGGAGCAGTGGAGCTGCAGATTTTTGCCTGGAGCTGGAGCGGAGTCAGAGCACAGCTCCAAAGCCCTGGGTGAAAATCTTGTAGATGTTAGCCTCTGTCTGAGGGGTTGGAGCAAATGCGGTTGTACCTCCGCGCTTGGCTGTAGATGATGGATCGTGTGGTGTGTCCTGCACGTCCACCAATGTAATATACGCCATCATGTAATATACCACCCCAGCCCCTCTCCTGAATGCGGAGCTTCTAGACAGGCAGAGCTCGGTCTTTGCCCCCCTCGTCCCTGGGGTCCCTGTGATGACAGTTCCTGTCCTCTGCCATCTTCCTTCCTATAGCTCCCTGGGGGCCAGACATCCAGTCCCCAACATGGCTTCTTGTCTGTCCTCCCAGACTGCTGCTGGCCAGGACACTGGGCAGCATCTCTCGCTTCCCACCAGGACCAAGGTGCTTCTCCAGAGTGGGGTGCAGGATCCACCACTGAAGCACAAGCCCTGGCAGCAGGACCAGCTGTGGCCAGTTCCCTCCCCTTGGAGGGATGGCCCCAGGGTCCCTGGCTGCCCCGGCAGCCCACCCCTCTCCATGGAGTCCGGAAAGTCCCCTCGCTGCGTCCCCAGCAAAACTGTCATCTTCGAATAAGTCAGAAGGTGGAGCCCATAAAAGTAGCAAGGGAGCCCAGCCCCCTAATCCTCCCTATAATTCACCATTGGTGGCTCTTACATGCTCAAAGAGAAATATGGCACCAGTACCTGGCGAGGTTTCCCCCGCCCTGCCCAGCGCTGCTACCGGGGTTGGGTCACAAGGGCTTCCCCCACCCCGCCTACCCATCAGTCAGGGCTCTGGGCTTCCGCCACCCGGCAGCAGATTTTATTCCAAGGCCCCCCATTGGTTGGGATCCCCGGGCATGGGCCCCATCGGCCCAGTGGCTAATCCACCACTGCCTGAGCTCGCCACACACTCGCTCCTCCCCCCAGTGCCTCCTGCAGGCTGTAGAACAGCTGATTGCAAAGGGTAGGAGGCGCTGAGAAAAAGGGGGGAGCTGATAGGGAGGCTGCCGGTGGGTGCTCATGTTGGCACCTATGGTCGTGCTGGTGGGGGAGTGGCACTAGACGTGAAAAAAAGCAGAGTCAAATGTGGTAAAAATCTTAAATGAAACAAACTATACCACAAAATCTCTCTGGATAGAAATTCCATGCTTGAATAATCAGAGCATAGCTGTAGAAATGTACTACCAACCACCTGACCCAGATGGTGATGGTAAAATGGGCTGGGAAATTACAGAGGCTATAAAAATAGAAAACTTAAAAATAAGAGGGGATTTCAGCTATCCCCATATTGACTAGTGTCCTGGGTACATGCACTTCAGGACGAGATACAGTGAGTGTGTTTCTAGGTACCATAAATGACTTTTTCTTGGAGATTTAGATTTAGGACTAAATCAAGAAGAACTCTAAATGAGTAATTGTGACTATACAGGGATTGGCAACATTTGGCATGTGGCTCGCCAGGGTAAGCACCCTGGTGGACCGGGCCAGTTTGTTTACCTGCCGCATCCGCAGGTTTGGCCGATCGCGGCTCTCACTGGCCACAATCCGCTGTCCCAGGCCAATGGGAGCTGCGGGAAGCCCCTTACACTGGCGAGCGGCGTGCCAAAGGTTGCCAATCCCTGATATATATAATTATATATCACTCCTTGTGAGGGGGAAAACACCAAAAAAGCACACCACAGTATCATTTAACTTCAGAAAGGGAACTACACAAAAATGAAGAAACTAGTTAAATGGAAATTAAAAAGGTACAGTCACAAAAGTGAAATGCCTACAAGCTGCATGGAAACTTTTAAAAAGCACCATAATAAACACTCAAATTAAATGTATACTCCACATCAAAAAACCATAGTAAGATGACCAAAAAAAGTGTGATCATGGCTGCGATGGGTTTCTCTCGGGGCGCCACCTGGAACTGGGGTACCACTGAGCCCCCCTGACCCACCAGCCTGGGCTCCCTTTACACTGTACTGCTGTGACAGGCTGCCAAGCCCTCTCCAGGCTCCAGCCTACACTTTCACCAGCACACATACAGGTAGGGACACATTCAGACGCTCTGACCAGCTACTGCATGGGAAGGCTCCAGTTAGGATACTTCCCAGCTACTCAGGCATGCACCCCTCTAGAGTGTAAATCCACATTAGACTGTCTTGCATTGCTCAAGGAACGGTACAGCATAAGCTCATGAAATTCGCCCCCTCCCTCCATGTGGAGAGGAATATACAACAGCTTTCTGCCCCGAGTTATGGCTTCCATACTCTGGCTTTAGATAAAGCAAAAACAAGTTTATTAACTACAAACGATAGATTTAAAGTGATTATAAGGGATAGCAAACAGATCAAAGCAGATTACCTAGCAAATAAACAAAAATGCAAATTTTATTAAATTTTTATTTATTTATAAAAATTAAATAAAATTTGCATTTTTGTTTATTTGCTAGGTAATCTGCTTTGATCTG